CTATCTCTCTCCACGTCTCTTGGTCGTGTCTATATATATATATATATATATATATATGGTGCCCGCCCATTCCTACTCTCACTCCATTTATCAGCCATAATCAGGATTTAGATAATGGATTAGACAAAGATATTTGGACTTTGGTCGAGGCGAGCTAAAAAAAAAATAAAACCAAATAAATATTATAACCTGCATAATTTTAATAGAAGATATTGATTGTCTTATTGGTTGGCTTGTCTACCTTCTTACACTTTGTTTTAGATGCTCATAGGTTTGATTCCCATGAGTGTAGTTTCGAGCTCATGGGTTTGATTCCCATTAGTGTTGTTTCTTTGTTTTTCAAATTTTCAAGCTCCTATTCTTAACCCTAAAAATAAATAAATAAATAAATCAAGTTCCTATTCTTAACCCTAAAAACAACAAAAATAAATAAAAATAAAAAACAAAGTCTTACCTGAGGGGAATCGAATTATAAACCCGAAGAATGACCCTCTTACTTAAAGGGAATTGGTCAACTTCTTAACCCTGAAAAGAACGAAACGTAGAGTCTTACTTTTGGAGAGAATGGAACCCCCTAGTGGCATTGAAAAGCATGCACAGACATTATCCCAAAGGCCATTGAAGCATTTATAATAAACAATTGACATGATACATTTATATATATTTAAAAATCGGTATAGCCTTAATCAGATAAAACCCACCTCGCCCTTAGTAAGTGGGCCAGTCACGAAACACTAGCCACAATCCGCAAGAAAGCAGCACAGGCTGCATGTCCATAGCCAACGTTTGCACAGTGAAAACGGAGGTTTCTAAGGTCTGGAAACATGGCGAGCTCAGGCAATGAAGGAAGAGATATTTGGGGAGCATCAAGTGCAATCAAATAAAACCTAATATACTCATTAGTTATTGACTTTTTGGCTTTTTTAATCTTGTAGGCTGTTGTAGAAATGGTTTCTCGTTCTTCCTCTGATGCCTTGGGCGTGGTGAAAATGGCGGCCATGACATAAGCGTCACCGCTAAATTCAGTAGTGCGGGAGGGGAAGCAGCACTTGGTCCTTGTCCATTGAGAACTGGAGGCACACCTTCTCGTCTCCACTTAGGCCTAGCGACTTGGCAACGGGCAGGGCTCGAGCCTGTCATAGCCGGCCCTATTTCCCTGAAGGTCATGCTGGGCTGTACTGGGTAAAATTAAAGAAAAATAATGCAAAAAAAAAAAAGGCAGGCCAAGCCTAGCCCTGGCCTTGTTTTTAGGATCGGGCGGACGCCCGGCCCATTGCCGTTCCTGCATGAGAGAGATAGGTACATTGAGAAAGAGAGACAACATTGAGGGAAAGAAAGAGAGAACATCAAGAAAGGGTGAGATCACAACCTTATCTCTCAAAATTGTCGACGCCCTCTCTCTTTCTATATTAAAGACAAAAAGAGGGCATGGACATTATTATTTACGAAAGAATTCGGAAAGAGCTCAATATACAATGTTGGCATGGAAATCGAGAGAGAAAGAGAGAGGCATATACCAAACCAACTAACGGCACACCTCAGAGAGAGAGAGAACGGGAGGATGAAAGTGCCGTTTGGATTGTGGGTCATGAATGGAGTGAAGCCCACGAGATAGATATTAGAAAGGGTAGTGGGGAGGAAGGGGGGCAGGTAAAAGTAGTGACAGAGAGGGTTTAGGAAATGGGCAAAATTTGTGTTAGAAAGAGAAATGACATATGGGTTGGTTTTAGGGTAGGGCATTTAAAAGGGCACAATGATTGGGAGCGAGCAAGTTAATTGCTGGATGCTTGAAAGTTTGTACAGTACATATATATTGTAAAAGGGCTCCTATGAAATAAGAATGATAGATTCTACCATAAAGGGTAGACAGTTATTTCCTGCCACTCATCCAGCGCAGCAGCCAACCTACTAATGTCTCAAGTCGAACACAAACAGAACCTCCACTTAAGTGCTCACAATTACCTAATTTGAAATCTTAAGGACAAGAGTGATCGTGTCCTCTGCTAAAAGTAAATTATCTATTTATATACTTTTCCAAAATAATTAGATATCCAATAATCTCATGTAAAACAAATGGGTCAGACCATTGCAAAGAATAGACATCCTCAAAGTACAACATCCGAACATACAAAAAGAAGAGTACACAAACGTTGAGAAGAATGATAGAGATCCTGAAAGTAAATCAACAAACAAATAACCAGTCAACAGCCATATCCAAGCTAAAGACAACTCCAGTTTCCACAGCTACATATAAACAGAACTAACGCGGCTCCAAGAACAATAAGCAAAAAGAACTTGCTATGGTACAATAAAAACCTCTCTCTTCACCTAGCCCATGACACAGAATCGATCTCATCCCTTGCAGACTTATAAAGCTCGAGCCTCTTGGCACACTGTTGTCTTCGCTCCATAAGTGCTGGGTCCTCATCCAACAAAGCTGCTAGCTGTTTCCCCTGCTCCATCAAAGAGTGATTTGATGGAAATTAGACAGTCAGAAATAAGAAAATTAGTTGGTCTTTTTTTTTTTTCCCTTTTCCCCATCTTTTGTGATTATAAGAGAATCAAGAGGTTTAATCTTGGGCAGACTAGTTTGGCCAAGACAGTGGTGCAAAGAAACATAGTGTGCTAAAAATAACGGTAGTTGGACAAAGAGATTAATGACGTTCTATGCAATTAAAATACATCATATGCATACTATGTAGGGCTCATCCTCGCTTCAAGCTGCATGGCTTAGCAGTGGAGCGGCCAAAAGGAGTCCCCCTCAAAATGAATTGAATTTATGTTCGCCCATCACACAGCTGAGTGCGCCACGATTAAACCTCTCCCGTGGAAATACCACGCCACTCCATTTTTTAAGGAGGAAGCGCTCGGCCTAGGGCAGCATTGAAACAGCAGCACAACAACCACCAACCCACCCTTCTCTCTCTCTCTCTCTCTCTCTCTCTCTCTCTCTAACCTGTAAAATTCCAACCGGCCCAGTTCTTTTATGTAAATAACCCAAAACTTTTCAAACCCCAACTCTCTCTCTAAATTTACATGTGTAGATGCGAGAATAGAGATAAGAGAGAGAGTAGCACCTCTTTCTTGCCCACTTGGGTATAGAAGTGATTGAGCAAAGATTGTTTGGCCTCTCGAACTTGGCAATAAACCACAGATTTCGGAATGGAGGTCTTGAGGGTCTCACAGACCATCCCCACATAAGCGGAAACATTGGAACCTATCCTCCTCAAATGAGCCTCTGTGTAGCGATCAATGGTGGGGGCTGTAGGATTTCCACCTTTCTCCACTTCCTGTGGAAGCTTCCGAAAGAAATCAACAGTTAGATAAGAAGATTCCATCTCCACCAACCGCAGCGTTGTCTTTTTGCTTTCCTCTCGAAATCTTTCCAAAGCTTCGTAGGATGCTGCTGCTAGTTCACCTTGAAGGGTAGGAAACCGCTTCAACTCCTGTCCGCACCAAAGAGCATACTTTCATTGTCCATTGTTTTGTGTTCTAGATATAGGACTCCCCTCACGTAGTATGAGAGAGAGAGAGAGAGAGAGAGAGAGAGGAGGTAGAGAGAAGAAGAGACGACTACTTCTACGTACGTTACTACTACGAAGAACGACTACTTACGTAATACTTACTACTACTACTACGTACGTTACGTTACTTAAACGTTAACG